AGAATTGATTATAGTGATGATGAAGTTTTAAAAGATTAATGATAGTGTTTGTTTATTACATATTTGCACTATAGATGAAACTTTTGGATATTGTTATCTTGTTAATGAATGTTTTAGATGTTCTTGGATGTTAATGAATATTTATATATAATGATATTTTGTATTTGTGACTTAATTTTATTTATATTTATGTCTTTTATTAATAATTTTATTGGTTTATTTTCTTTTTTTTGTAAAAAATATGAAAAATAACATTTTTTTTAAACAGGCTGAAAGCCCATGGGCCGGCTCTGAGCCCGTTAGCTTAAGGGTTAGGACTAGTAAATTGGGATATTTTTAAAATTTTGGCCCTGTAGGGTCGGCCTTTTTAAGCCCCTAGCCCTGCAGGGTCGGCCCGACCCATATTCCCACCTTTATTAAAGACACATACTGTTTTTTTAATAATAATATTATTATTAATTTTTTTATTTTTATATAAAATAACAAATATTATCATTATCAGTAAAATTATTTATATTTCTAATTTTCTTATCCCAGGTATTTTTATTAGCACTTGCCTTACTGAGAGCTTTTTATTGTGTTTGGGTCAGCCATTGAAAATCCAAAACTAACTTATTTTCATGGTAAGCCAATTTAGAAAGTTGGAGGCTGATTGGAAAAGCTTATGAGCATCATACTTTGGGACAAAAAGCTAGATTCGAATGCACTTAACATTAAGCCGATGTAAGATAACTTATTCAAGTGAAAATCTTGCTTGGGACCATTGGAATTGTAAGATTTTTATTTTTCTGTCACTCCTCCCTCATTATTCTATCATTATTTCACCCAAAATACTCTGCCTCATATGCTGAAACTTACTCATTATATTATGTAAATTTATTTTTTAATCATTTATCATTATTTAATAAAACTCATACTCATTTAGATAATTTTACAAACTAAGCTTGCTAATTTAAATTCATTGTATTATGTAAATTCATTTCTTAATTATTTTTCATTATCTAATAAAATTTATACCCATTTTAGTAATTATATAAACTAAACTTACTTTTATTCAATCATAATCCAAATAACTTTTTACTCAATCTAACTTTTACAAGCTTTTATAAAATCCAATCCAATTCAAACACAATTTACATCATCCGATCTAACTTTTTCAAAAGTCAAATTGATGATAAATTATTTTTTTAATCGTTAATTCATATCGACCCTATATATGGCTCAAAGGTGCCAAACGCTTTCTCACAGAAAAGATTGTGTATTTTATACCGCAAGACATGTGTACTAAGCGTTAAATTGTCCAAATAAAAAGAATTAACACTCACTCTTCCATGTATTAAATAATTTTAAATTAAGAAAAAAAATTATTTTTCCTATCATGATTTATTATAAATTATGTATTATATATTGACGATATGGATTAGCACCAGTTTCCTGAAAAAGTAAAGAGCACCTTCAATTGCTGCATAATTTCATCACGGGTTCCATGGGGATTTTATGTAGCTGATATATCCGGTTTGCATTCCTCGATCCACATTATTTAAGGAGGAACCCAAGCTTCAAAAAATTGCGGTCCTTTTTTATCTCAATCGGATCCATATATGGATAAAATGAACCCCTCGTCCTCTCAGCGTAGAAACGAGAAACGCGGAAAAGATACCACAGAAAATGAATCCCTCGTCCTCGGCAATAGAAAACTGAGAAGAAGAAAAAACAGAGCGAGAGGAAACAACAACCTAAGCACTAGATAAGATTGTCAAAACACCCGAGGAAAAGTGAAAAATTCTTGGGTGAACCGGGAGTGAGTGCACGTAAAATGTAGTCTAATCAATATGAAAATGACAAGTTCCAACCCATGAGTCCGGCTATTGCTCTCTTCCTTTTTTTCCATGCGCCCGCGCTCTTCTCCTCACCCTACTCTCTCTCCTTTCAGTTTTGCTCACACATCACACCTCCCTCTTACCCATTCGCTCACCGCTTGCATTCATCTTCTTCAATTTTTCCCTCCACCGAAAAATGACCTGGCAATAGGAGAGAAGAATGATCAAAATAAACTATTTAGGTACTTGTTTTATTTTTCAATTGTTGGCGTTGCGTGGGGTAGGCCAAATTATTTTTTAAATACACACAATGACACAAATATATATATATATTTCTCATATATATTAGATAACATGTTATGTATAATAATATTGCAATTATGCGACAGAGAATAAAGTCATATATCTTATATATTACTAACCTAAAAGAAAATTTTATGAATAATAAAATTTTATTAAATATGTAGTTCTTAAAATTTGTAACATTCATATGCCTTTGTACTACATATAGATTTATTTTTGATAAAATTTAATATATTTATTATAATTTCTTTTTATACATTATCTATATGAAATAATAGTTAAAAAAACTATTACTACCTTTTGTCCTTAGTATAATAATTAGTTGACTAATTTGAGTATATTAAGAAAATTAGTTAAGTTAGTTATTTGTAATAAATAGATATTATTTTCCTAAAATTATTCTTACTATCAAATGTTATTTGATAAAATATTTAATATGTATAACTATTACAATGACTACCTTAAAAAAATTAATAAATATAAGAGACAAAATGAATTCAGGTCTTATATTTAAAACCAGATTAAAAATCAAATAAGTTCTTATATCAAGGACTGAATGTAGTATAATAATATGATTTTATTATTCATAAAAATCTTATGTTTGGGTATAGAAGGAATAAATTAGACTAGATGAATGTAAATTTAGTATTTTGAAGGGAGAGAATGGGAAAGAATGATTGTGAAAAGTGAAGAAATCTGAAAGGAGAGGGAGAGTTGAGTGGAGAAGGAGAGCGGGATACAAAAGCAAAAAAAAAACAGAGAGAGATCAGGGTGAGACCCATGGGCTGCACTTGTCATTTTTTGTATTTGCGGGACCATGATTTACGTGGCAAAGGGAGAGCTTGTGAACAGTGAAGAAATCTGACAGGAGAGAGAGAGTTGAGGGGGAGGAGAAATTCTTATATACACCCAGAACACCACATCATCCATGCTCTGCCTAATAAAAATTAGCCACATCACTGAATTTAATCTGATGTGTATGCCGAACTGTCGCCCATTTAATTTACATGAGTTTAATATTTTAATTTAAACAATATTCTGCTCGAGAGATTCGTCCTCACCCTTTTGACTCGGAATCCACCTCTCCCCCCTCGTCCGTCTCCCTCCTTAACTTTTTTGCCAAACTCTTTCTCAATAATAGCTTTTTCTAGACAATCCCGGAGCTTTTGAAACCAACTCTTTCTTCCCTGGCTTCAACCAACCCCGACCACGACCATGAATAATAAAAGTTTATTAAATATGTAATTTTTAAAATTTGTACCATTCATATGCCTTTTTGTACTATGTAGATTTATTACTACATCCGTTCTTGATATAAAAGTTAACTAGTTAATTTGAGTATATTAAAAAAATTAGTTAAATTAGTTATTTATAATAAATAGGTATTGTCTTTCTAAAAATATTCTTATTAATAAAGTATTATTTGATAAAAAATTTAATATGTGCAACTACTATAAAGACTATCTTGAAAAAATAGATAAATATGAGAGACAAAATAGATTAAAGTCATATATTTAAAATCAAATTTAAAATCAAATAAGTTCTTATATTAAGAATCAGAGGTAGGATAGTAATATGATTTTATTATTCATAAAAATCCTATTTTTAGGTATAGACTGTATTTAATAGAAAACATGGTTTTCTTAAAAATATTTCTTTTTGCTTGATCCTTTTCCTTGATAATATATACTTGCAGAGAGTCAAAAACATTATACTAAGATATTGTAATTTAAGCATTTAAGTTTACGTATTAAAAAATTCATTCAAATACTAGTGAGATATCAGATAAATTTAAATAAATAAGTCAAATTGATATATTTGAATTTGAACAGATTCTAACCTAAATCATTTGGTTTGTAAATTTTTTTAAAAAAATATATAATTTTTTATTAAAATATACAATCAATATAGAATATACCATTTCTTTATTAAAATATTCTGATTTATTGAATACTGAATGCTACGGTATAATCTAAGAATTAAGAACAATAAATTTAGAGATCATGAAAATTAAAGTTGATGTCTTCTAAATAAAAATGGACTAATTAAGTCACCTTTAATATTATTTAAAAAAAAAAGTTCTCAATATTAATCAAAGCAATTGGATGATAGCAGACACGCTTGACGCTTTTTTGGAGGGAAAGGACCCTCTAACTTTCTGCTAAAGAAAAATGTAAGATTTACTTTATAATCTAAATTATATTATAAAATAAGTTTTATATTTATGATTGGATGAGTTTTTTTTATAAGTACCACTTTTTATGAATATAAAAATTAGATAACTAATTTTTTATTATTAAAAATAATTAAATTAACTATTTGTTATAAATTAATTTTAAAATATCTTGTTAACTATATGTATTAGAATGAAAATTCTTTTAACATGTTCAATCACCATGTAGACAACTTTATAATAAATAAATAAATATAAGAGATAAAATAAATTATGATCTTATATTTATAATCAAGTTGAATATCTAGCTAGCTCTTCTATTTTTGTTTTTTTTTCCAATAGAATAGCTCTCTTATATTTGAGATTGAAGGTAACATGCATGCATATGTGGTCTGTGTGTGTATACAATGTAATCAGGAATAGTGAAATTTTTTTGTGCACACCTCAGGATTATCATGCGTCGACGCCCAGGATTTCTTTGTCAACCATAATTATTATACGAGGGTGGGGCGCTGAAATGGCTCTCTCTCTCCTCTCGGATGAACGACGGCGTTTTGCGTTGGGCCCGAATTTGAAAGTGACCTCCCTGTTCCACTAGTATAAGTTGACCAATCTCTGACTGGTTTTCACTCACGTAGTGCCTTCAGCACAGCTCAAGTAACCCAGCTTCTTTTCGTTGATTCTTGATCAACAGATTGCGTTCGATGGCCCAATCTGAAGGCAAGAGGTGGGGGGAACTCAATAACTCTGAATGGGTCCAAGTTAACTTAGAGAAAAAGAGAAGAAAGAAGCGTGGTCAGCCTGATGAGCCAGTTTCTGAGATCTTCAATTTGCCTTTACCTCCAGACTTTGAAGCCGAGATTAACAAGAAATTTCCTGCATGTGAAAAATTGCTTTGCATGCGGAAGATCCTGACTGAATCGGATGTCAGCAAAAAACAAGCTAGGCTTAACATGCTCTGCCATGAGTTGGAGACATTCCGCTTCTTGAATGATGAGGAGACTGGGGACCTGAGGCAAGGAAAGGGCACTGAAGTTCCTGTCATGCATAAATCCATCACACGTGGTGTCAAAGAAAGCCCGATGAGCTTTTTTCAACGCGATGTTCGCAAGGATTCTCATCCTCCAGAACGAGTTAGCTCATCTTATGTCTTCACGAAGGGCTGGAACTCGCTGGTCTCAGAAGACGGCCTCAAAAAAGGAGATGTCATTCAGTGCTGGGCTTTCAGGGATGGAGAGAAGCTGGTGGGTATGGCTCTTGTGAAGGAGGATCGATCTGTCAATTTGGCATCATCCCACCATCACGCGTGGTAATCCTTTCAATCTGCGCCAATATCCTCTGTGATACCCATTCTAATTAGTTGCTGCTGATAGTCAAAGAAAGAAGATCCAGTTTACATTCTGTCATCTGTGAAAAGTAATCCGCTTGTCCTGGGGAACGTCTGCTCTTTGCTGGAATTTTAATGTAACTGCATGGAAGTAGAAAGAATTAGCTATGGTCCTAAGACCGTTCATCAATCCATATCATCCTCTCATTATTGCCATAATATATTTATGCTTTTAATGCACATCCCAGAACTTTCTTACAATTAGTTGCAGTAGTAGTATTCTACAAACTGTTCCGATCATTACTTACGTTCAAAGTGCGCTGGAAGTATCTCATGATGTATTTGGGGCATTGAAACAAGAGTGCAATACCCAGTCTTTATAATCCGATAACTTCGTCCGCCTCCACTAATTAAGCGCAACCGATACTTTTTAATATTATATCTTTGTTTTTCAATCTTACATTGTTGTAAATTGTGTTACTCTGTGTATCCCTGTTTTTCAGGATAAAAACAGAGGTAGTCTCACAACCGAGAAATAAGTAATAGATTACAAGGGCATGAAGCTTTGAATATGATCAATTTTTCCATTACTTGCATATATACAGACATGTAAGAGTAAATTTTGCGTATTAAGCAAGACAATGGTTGGATTCGGTGGAGGAGAGGAAGGAATGGCCAATCCCAGCGTTCCTCACTCCCTTCCCGTGTTCGCAGCCGGTCTTCCACGTCTCCGACAAGTGGGCCGGGGCTTAAGCCCAAACTTCTCTATCCTCTCACCCAGGACATGACTGAATGCCCACTTATATGAAAAGTGTCAAGTGACTACTTAAATGGATGTGTCTTAAGTTCTAACATAATCCTACTCAATGTTTTGCAAGGAATATATTAAACTCTGAAACTTCTCTATCCTATCTCCACGACACAACGCTTTTTAATCCTTGTTCCTCTTAATCGACGGCCAAAATAACAAGGTAAATCAGGAATTTTCAAAACCTCCCAATTTGATTGGAAAAGAAAAACCTCTAGACTGAAGTTAGAAATACTCCCAAATGCCGACCCGTAGATTAATAACCCTATTGAAGACAGGTACTGTTTATTATTATTATTATTATTAATTTTTTAATTTTTATATAAAATAACGAATATTATCATTATCAGTAAAATTATTTATATTTCTAGTGTTCTTATCCCAGGTATTTTTATTAGCACTTGCATTTACTGAGAGCTTATCATTGTGTTTGGGCCTGAGGACACAAAAGTGACTTGTTTTTATGGTAAGCCCGTTTAGAAGGTTGGACGCTGATTGGGGAAGCTTATCAGCATCGCGTTTTGGGACAAAAAGCTAGATTCAAAGGCGCTTAGCATTAGAGCCGTCAAAACGGGCCAAGCCCATCGGACTAGCCCTTTTAAGCCCTTTTAAGTAGAGGGTCAGGCTTGTATTTTAGGTGGTTTAAAAGGGAATTGGGCTTAAAAGGGCTAGCCCTGTAGGGCTCAAAAATAAAAGGGCCAACCCTTTAGGGCCAAGGGCTAGCCCTTTTAAGCCCGCCTATTTTTTTAATTATTATCAAGATATTTATAAAATTATAGATTAGTCTTTTATGAATAAGTTTAAATTAAAAAAATACTTAGAAGAATCAATACTCATGCTAGATAATTGAAAAGACTTAGATGTCTTGGACTTGTGGAGGAACAATTAAAATCAATTTTCAATTCTTTCAAGAATGGTAGCTGATATTCTTAACATTTTAATCACCATAATAGCTCGTAGATCTTCATTTACCATCGGTTTACATATCTTAACAAAGTGTAAAACTTTTTCTTATTCGAACAAATGTTCAAGCTCTTATTTGTACTTATAATTACTGCATAGTTTTATTTTAGATAAGGTAAATGAAGACAAAACCTTAATATTTTTATCACTAAAGAAGAGCTCACTTATAGTACAGAACAATCAAATATTACTGATCTTGATGATACTGATGAAGATGAAGATAAAGATAATAATTATGTTGATATTGTTAATCTTTAACTGCTAGGTTTTATCTTTTTGTTTTTCGTGTTTTTGTTAGATTTTGATTTTTTTTTAATTTTGGATAATAGTTTATTGGCATTTAATTTTTTTTCCCTATACAACACTAATTTTTTTACGTATATTTATAATTTGAATACAAAATCTTAGAAGTTTTGTTGTTTTATTTTTTATTTTAAAATAATTAACAAGAATTTAAATTTTAAAAAATAACATAAAAGGGCCAGCCCTTTTAAACCCTGAGCCCGCATGTCTAAGGGTCGGGCTTTAATAATTAGATAATTTTAAGGTATGTGGGTTTTAAAAGGTTGGCCCTTTTAGGCCCTGGCTCTTCAAGGGCTAGCCCTTTAGGGCCGGGCTGGCCCTTATTGACAGCTCTACTTAGCATTAGGCTAATCTACCGTAACTCATTCAAGTGAAAATCTTGCTTAGGACCATTGGAATTGTCAGATTTTTATTTTTCTCTCACTCCTCCCTCGTTTATCTGTCATTATTTCATCTAAACTACTCTGCCTCATACGCTGAAACCTAGTATTGTGTAAATTTATTTTTAATCATTTATCATTATTTAATAAAACTCACTCATTTGCTAATTTTACAAATTAAATTTGCTAATTTAAATTCATTGTATTATGTAAATTCATTTTTTTATTATTTTTTATTATCTAATAAAACTTATACCCATTTTGGTAATTATATAAACTAAATTTATTTCTATTCAGTCATAATCCAAACAACTTTTTACTCAATCTAACTTCTACAAACTAACTTTTATAAAATCTAATCCAAACACAATTCATATCAACATATTTAACTTTTACTCAATCTAATTCTTTCAAAAGTCAAATTAATCGAAACATATCCTATATATGGCTCAAAGGTGGCAAGCGCTTTGTCACAGTAAAGATTGTGTATTTTATACCTCAAGACTTGTGTGATGAGCGTTAAATTGCCCAAATGAAAAAAAAAAATTAACACTCGCTCTTCCATGGATTAAATAATTTTAAATTAAGAAAAAAATTATTTATCCGTATCATGATTTATTATAAATTCTGTATTATACACTGACGGTATTGATTAGCACCAGTCTCCTGAAAAAATTAAAGAGCGCTTTTAATTGCTACATAATTTCATCACGGGTTACATGGGGATTTTATGCAGCTGTTATATCCGGTTTACATTCCTCGATCCTTGTTATTTAAGTAGGAACCCAAGCTTCAAAAATTGCGGTCCGTTTTAATCTCAATCGGATCCATACACGGACAAAATGAATCGCCCATCCTCTCAGCGGAGAAACGAGCTTCAAAAAATTGTAGTCCCTTTTTATCCCAATCGGATCCATATATGATATATGGACAAAATGAATCTCTCATCCTCTCAGCGTAGAAACGAGTCCATGTTCATCCCAATCGGATCCATATATGGACAAAATGAATCCGTCATCCTCTCAGCGTAGAAACGCGAAGCGCGGGAAAGATACCACAGATCCACCCACCCTCTCTGTTTTGGGGCACAGACGCAACAAAAGTAGCAATTTAATGGACCTTCTTGCTAAACAAATCGAACTTAACAGAACGTATGTAAATAAACTACTAAAAGTCAAGGGGAAGCAGATGCGCAAATAAACAACAACCGCTCATCCAAACGCGCATTTGAAGTGGCATCTGCAATATTAGCATGATAAGTTCTGAGAACAGATCCTCTCAGTGGCCATTTTCTCCTCATCTCTCGGGATCTCCAACTCTTGACCGTCCATTTCATCCGAACGGTCACCAGGAGACACGTCATAAAGCATTCAAAATCACATCTAAGCCATTCGTCTTGTTATGATCCTGGCCGCTCATTCAATTTCATATTCTGCCAAATCCCTGTCGCTTTCTTTCACGAATACACTCCAGTTTCTCGTGACGTTCCATGCCCATCGGCGGTGCAAACAGGAGCTCTGTCGTCACCCACGGTCGGGCACTATGAGAGAATTTGTTGAGAGTAGCTTATTTGGGCAGGTATCCTCATTTCAACTCTTCATATCTTTGCCGCAACTATTCCTCCATCCCTTTTTGAACTATGCTTTTTCTTGTTCTTCCTTTTCCCCTTCCATTTAATTAACTTGAAGTTCTTGTTCTGAATTTTTTTGGTTGGATTAATTAAATCAGGAGGATGAGCGATTACAGGGTGGAGATGATTAATGATGGCATGTAGGATTTTATGTGCATCTCCCCGGGCCTGAAGACAGTAAATTTTTTCATCCCTCTGATTTACAATTTTTTTTTTCCGACTGATTATTTTCACGTGCACCTTTAGTCGGAATGTATCTTTAGCAAGTTTTGTTTGGGAATAGCTTGCAAACTTCTGGAAATCTGCATTTTTCTTCTTGTTGCAACTATTACCTTCGGAAGTTTGTCTCGATCTTAAGATGAGCGAAGTTGTCACTTTTAATTTAGATGGAAAAATTATGTTGGTCAATTATCCGTTTTTCTTTTATCATTTTGGTGAAAGGAGATCTTCTGGTTTTGTTTGTATCTCTCTATACTCCTGCAGTCCCATGATTTCTCTGTTTTTCAACAAAATCAAATGAGATGTTATTCTGACCTTTTAGTTGAGTTGTTAGTTGGCGTATCATGATTTTCTCCAGTTTTCTATGTACAATCAGTGAGAGTCAATACATTGGCAGTGAATGTAATCTACAGATAACAATAATCATCCATCCACAACTTTGGCTTCCACAAATTTTGTGCGCCTTCAATACCTTCTGTTCTAGTTTATGCAGCCATTTAAAGATATGATCGAAGAGACTAGGAATTGCAAGCCAGTTAATCAACATACTCAGAGATGCTGGAGAGGAGTGAGTTTGAAGTTTTTATTGCTTATTGCTTTTTTAAGTTCTTTTAAGAGTTGCAGAGTGAATCTTTTTTTTTTTTAGACCATAGAGTGTTCCACCATGAGAGCTTTTGTGATAT